TTTGGCCCCCGGGGGGGGGGGGGGGGGGGGGGGAGGGAGGAAAAGGAAGAGGAGGAAGAGTAAGAGGAAGAGTAAGAGGAAGAGTAAGAGGAAGAGTAAGAGGAAGAGTAAGAGTAAGAGTAAGAGTAAGAGTAAGAGTAAGAGTAAGAGTAAGAGTAAGAGGAAGAGTAAGAGAGGGTTGATGGGTTTAACGCAGTGGAGAGAAGAAAATCGAAAAGGCAGACGAAGATCGCTTATAAAGACGGTTGTTGATATCCGCAGAGCGCAAGCAGCAAGAACCCATTGGGTTGGCCCCAGCCTCTGGGGCGGCAAGCTACGGGGGAAGACCCAACCTTCCAGCAAGGTTTGACTGCCTCCGTTACGCCGGCGTACCAGAGGGGGGAAGGGAAAAACATCGAAACATCGAAACATCGAAACATCGAAACATCCGTCGGCAGGCGCGGGGTTTTGCGTAGGGATAAACGCCGAGGGGGGTGCGGATAAAGTGTATTTCCGGGACAATTACCATACCGTACAGTCTCTGTTGGCCATTCCAGGGTTTCTCTATGACGTCAATGTATTGCCGCACCCAGAAGTTGGTGCTTTATTCAATGCTTGGAAAAAAAAAAAAAAAAAAAAAAAAAAAAAAAAAAAAAAGGGAGACTTTGGGCCAAGTAAAACTGTATATGAGATTGTCCGGTTAAACGGACGGGAATATAATCAGCGAAGTTCCACGGAATTAAGGAAGTGTGCTGAAACGAGGAGCCTTCCTGCTTTCTGGTGAAGAATATATTCAGCACAATGGGTCCCCCCCCCCCACCTATAGTTATTATAGTTATTTACCAGATTCTTCATTCAGCCTTGGTATTTCTAGAACCTGGCCCTATTCAATCGCGTCTCATTTATTTGTGCACTTTGTAGAATTTCTGTCCAGTGCAACTCCTCTGTCTGGAGGTTCAGACCCCGTCTGCCGTGCCGGGTAGAAACCCATAGTTTTCTTTCTTGCGCGCTGGTATTGATCGGGAACGGTGCAAAAGGATGATGATGGTGAATCTGATATGATGGATGGAGAGACTGACTGACTGGCATTGGGGGTTGGGATGCTTCAGTCTACTGGTGTATGTTGCTCGATTTGTGGTGGGGTAGACTGAGATTCATCGGCGAATGAGTGAGTTAGTAGCTAGCCTTGTGCAATAAATAGATTGGTTGACAGTAAGATGTTTCATATTCAAAAAGGGATGATGGGCCTTTATCCTCTTAACGCTTAGTTATATCAGATAATGCCTGAGGATAGTTATACCCACTTTTGCTGAAGCATATGCAAAGGGTATCTATCTCACATAACCAATGTCTGCCAACAAAGATATCTTTATCCTTTTGATTCAAGGTCCAATTTCTTTATTTCTTTTCCCATGGTTACGGGCTTCTCTACTTCCAATTCTTTATAACTTTCAAAAACACTTATACCTCTTAACACGTACTCTGCATTTCTTTTTTTACCACGAATAAGATATCTTACTAGAATTTTTCCAACTGTGAAAGACAAAGATCTTCCGGGACAAAGGCAAAAAAAATAAATAAATAAATAACAATTAAAAATAAAAATAAAAATTAAAATTAAAATTAAAAATTAAAAATATGCACTTGTGACATCAAACAGCAGCTGGAGTGTCCATCCTCTGTATGAGATCGATATCTTCGGACTCGCTTTCCCGCGTGCTACTGAATAATATCAAGACAGTTAATATTCATGATGTATATCAAGCTCTGTGTTTGAAGGCATGTACCCAGCCGGGAACTGATCATTCTCGAAGAGTTGCGGTAGTTGTGGTAAAAGACAATGGGAAGCAAACAATACCTGACTGACATGGTTTCTGGACTTCGCCCGTGCGTTTTTTCCAGTATTTTAAAATCAGCCAGCATTAGTTTGCTCTTCCCGCTCCCTGCCGGAAAAGCATCCTATATTATCACCTGTATTTGTAGAGATTTCTCTGTTTACGAAAAAGTCCCATTATCGACTACCATGTAAGGTGTAAGGAAATTTGGAAGTATATTGCGGATGGTTAGTTAGATGTTCTACGCTTTTGGCCATGGTCCGGGTTGTATCATTGGCATTGAACGTAAAAGGTGGTTCTGCAGGTGAGGCTGATATCGAGGAACTATCCCTATTTGTCTGTTTCCGTCCATGATGCTACCCTTCTTTATTTGGCTTCAGCTTTAGGAATGGACGGGTGACGGCCTCCCCGAATGTAACGTATCTCCCTTGACGATAGAGGAGACATGAGTCCATGGCTGGGAGATGTTGAGGAAAATACAAGTTCAAATCATTGCTTTTTCGTTTGCCGTGGCAGCACCAAGGCATTCGTGCCCCTGCATAGCCCCCTTATTATGTGCACATACCCGAGGCCTAGAAACGTCAACTAAGAAGGTTTGGAATGGGCACTCACCTGAGTCCAGATACCGGCCAAACAACCTTATGAAATCCTGACTTCAAAGATCTTTTTGCGTTCCCTCCCAAGCCTCGACTATAGAAATATGAGGCTTATCGGAGTGGGAAGGAGGAATATGGATATAAATATCTCTTCACTCTGCCCTTGAAAGTCCTCTGGATCGTTCATCGGTCGCCAGTCATCTTCATCACCTCATTCCATGTCCTTAAGCAAAATCTGATCGGAATTCTTTCGAAGAACAAGATATTCCTCTAGAAATACGTATCGAGAGAGCACCTATACTTTCCTCAATACAGGCTGCCGTTTCCCCCCCCCCCCCCCCCCCCCCCCCCCCCGGCTAAAAGGATTGATGATAAATACCGAGTTCGACCTACCCTCCGTGAAAATGGACAAGCACCAAGCATATAGGGCTGCGGGAGACGACATATGGCTCATGTTTTTTGGAAAGTGGTCCAGGGAAAACGATCTCGAGTTGCATGGGTACCGTGATGTTTCCTGCCATCATTGTCCGAGAGGGGCAGACAGCAGCTGGACCGAGTCCAAAAAACTGTGCTGGTGATGTAGATCCGAGGACGGACACCCTATCTGATGCGGCTCTGTATCTGTTCGCGTTCAAGGGGTACAGAATTGAAGAAACCATTGACAGTTGTGTGGAATTACACGGTGATGGAGATAAAAGGAAAACGAATCAAATCATGAGCGATTTCTCAAGTTTGACGCTTTGCTGTCGGATGCGCCATGTCCTCGAAGGACTGAGTGGGACGGACAGATCACAATCGTATGGACCTCGAATGAGAGACGTTTCGGCAAGCTGAGGGCTGACGGAGAGATCCAAGAAAACACCGTAGGATTCGCGGTTTGATTTGTAAGACCGCTCGCCAGGAGACACCACGCGCTCCTGAAAGGAGTTGGAATGTTTTTGGGAACGAGTTTGATGTTCAGGTCACAATCCAACTTTAGTCGATCTTTGAAGCATATCTAATCAACATAATTATGTTCATCTCCAAATCTCTATCTCAACTCAGGTACCTTGGGATAGCTTGTTTGTCACACCATGGTCCGTTAACCCTCAGTAAAGAAATGGAGAAAAACCGTACGAATATTCCTACCATGAACGGTATTCTGATTCTAACGGTACAAGCAGGTAATCCATATTCATATAGATTTTTTGGGGCGGAGAAGGTATAATTTAGGTTTGGTGTTTTGAAGAGAGAGAAGAAACGGGAGACCCCTAAATAGTCATCCACGAGAAAGTCTTCAGGTGCAAAAAAAGAAGTTAGAAAGAATACCGCTGAACCTATCATTAACAGATTCTCATGGATTAGCTGCAAGGTGAAATGCCATAGTGCTCAGAGATAGATCGGGCGTGGAATTTTCCTTGTTTGAAATTGTAAGCACTCAGGGTTCCTGCAATATTTCGCGGCTAAAACTTAAAAGTTACCGTTGAAACTGTGTGTAAGAATTGTTTCGAGTTGACAGAGATGGGTGCGACTGGTAGGTAACGGATGGACAGGGAGAATAGTTAACATCCATGGCTTTCTGGGATAGTTCAGGCTCGTGTTATCAACGAATTCATATCCATGCATGAAGAAGACAATTTGGATATCCCGCGTGCCACTTGATGGGAGGTTGTGAGAGACATGGCTTCGGTTACAGACGATTGATCTTGCAGTCTCCGTCCGAAATACCTCTTTTTATACAGGTCCATTCGGGTTTAAACACGGCAGAGTTCAAAGCTGCCTAGAGCTGCATCAAGATGCCTGTCATGCTTGTCAGGCTAAAAATTCACATGAGAATGACTCAACTGGCGTTCTCTTGATACTTCCTCCTTCGCCCAGGTCTTTTGCCCAGATGGTATAGACAATTTTCAAACAACAGGTTGGGTCGAAGGACGCGGATGGATGCCTCCATATATATATACCCAAGCTGTAAGGCTTAGTGGTCCATTGGGCAGCATTGTGTACCCCATTGAAAGGATACAATTCTTGCGAACCAAGGAGGCTAAGGAAAGAAGAAAAGGGAGGGGTAGGAAGGCTGTGCATACATTTTTGGAAGCCATGCCAAATTATTATAGTTGCCCAGACGTAGGTACCTCAAAATAGGATCTCAAGTTGAGACTTTGTAGCTCTCTTTTTGCTCCTTTGGATAGGAGCCTGATACGTTAGTGCAAGAAACATTGGTGTTGCCGTTGATTCCGAGAGCCTATAAGGACCAAATCTAGGATATATTTTGGGGAGATCCGATACCAAGCCTTGTGTTTGTTTGTTTTGTGTAGTAAGTGATCGGAAGAGCTATCTATCTGAGCAGTTTTAAATGCATGCACGGACGTTTTGACATGGTTGCTGGGTTATTAACAGGGATTGCGAGAGACAACGAGGGAGACCAAGGAGGCGCTAAAAGAGGAGTCTAAACCCGCCAAAAGCAAACGTTCAATCTGATGGTGGCTTCTTCTGGTGGGAAACTTAGAATTTCGAGCAAAGCGATTGCGGATACTTGATTCCGATGCTAATCTTAATCGGGGAACTTTTAGGAATGTTCGATATCTCGGTAAGGCCAAAACAAGTAACTATAACTAGTAAGTTAAAGCTGAGTAATTTGAAGTACGTGCAATGAGCCTCATAAGGTGGAGATTGTTGAGGATTGGCGTGAACTTTATCATGCAGTCATAGATAACCTTGTTAGCTAACCAGCCAATGATAGTCGGCCTGAGGTGCAAGGCCGATAATTTGGACACTGGCAGGCTCTGTAAAATCATAGAGCTCGAGTTGAATCAGTCAAATAAATCGATATTTAGGACTGCATGGCAACTTGTCTGCTTGTACAGCACATAAGAGAACCACTGGAATTTTGGTTAAATAAGTTCCCGTAGAAAGACTGGTTTCCGGGATCATGCAGGTCCAGATAATGGGCACAGATTGATCAATGAGGGAGAGCAAATAGAAATGCCTGACAAGATTTTCGGGTGATGAGTGATAAGCCGAATGAATCTCTTCACTTTTGGCGTGTGAATGGGTTGTAGTGTACTGTGGGGTACACATGCTGGCTGTATGGTGTATGCTTCGCGACCTTTGCACAAGCTTCCGGAACTGACAACAATTGATCTCCTCCAAGGTTGTGGCTCGAATCTTGAGAGCGATCATATTAATTAACATGGTTACTGAACTGTTGCCTTGGCACGAGAAATTCCGCGAATACCTGGAAGATCTAACGTCAGTGACAGGCTCGATGTTGCAATGAAGTGGCGCTTGCTTTCCCCGCACGTCACATGCCAACCTACCTGAAGTCTCCTCACATTGGCGAGTTCTCTGGCTTGGGAGATGACGAGGCATTGCGAAGCAGAAGCTTCGAGATACCCGATTACACAAATGCGGGGTTGAGGGGTCAAAATGAGACTCTCTGACATGGAAAAAAGGAAGTTACTATTATCAATGGTACAGCAGAGAAGCCTTGTGCTTCATTCAGACTTTTAGGGGCACCGCCGGTATAAACACAACGACATGATCCTAGCGCATAACAAATGCCATTTTAACAATGGAATGAATTAAGCCGGAGACTGTAGACAATGCGGACCAATGCGGACAAAAGATAACATGGAAAGTTGTGGCTGATAGAAAAGCAGTCTGGAAAGTGACATCGGCCACTTGTAATAACGTTTCCACCTTTGAGCAGCATGCTGATTCGGATTCGATTCGGCTATAGTACCACAGCTGTGCTCCCTACATGACAGATGGTTACCCGTGAACGTGGAGGAACAAGAAAGGGTGGAGAGTTGGTGTTAAAACGTGATATACCATGTCTGCGGGTTTAGGTAGCCAGGGGTACGAAGAAGCTAGTTAGGGTTAGCAGGTTAAATGGATGATGAGATAAAAAAAAAAAAAAAAAGGAAGAAAATTGGGGGGTTGGGAGAGAAGGAAAAGCGAAGATGGTGGATGACGATTTACGGGATATGGGCTGAATCTGAGGTTTCACAGCAGAGCCGCAAGCAGAGCCGCACCCAAACGCCCTGAACTTCGGATTGATGAGACACGGGAATTAACAGAAATAGAAAAAAAAAAGCAGACCAAGCCGTAAATAAAGGCCCGGCGGTCGCTGTTTTCCTGCAGATCATTGGCTGGAATGCAAATGGCGGTAGTTTAGCGCGGAATTATGAATTGGATGATGTCAACAGTTTGGCTGTTGGCTGAAAATACGATGGGCAGACGCTTACATCCTCTTCAAGATCGATTATTGGCTGTGAGTCGTGATATTGAATTTAGATGGCTCGTTAGGCCCAAATCTACGCGGGATTTGGACTAAAGTTGGCAGGGAGCAAGATGGGGATCTTAAGAATCAGAGCAATCAGAAAACTAGTTTACGTTAACTAGTTATCAGGCAGTCATATTATTCGTCTCGCCATCGTAACCGTCCTGCTTTCTTGGGATCTTGACCCATGCAAGGATGGGGATGCAATATTCCAGTTTCCAATCATTCTGGCAGTCTGAAGCGGCTTAAAAAACGCATGAATACCTAAGCAAGCGGTGTCCAAGGTGGTCCCCAGGAACAAGTTGCAGCATTTCCGTCGATCGGGATTGTGGAACTTCTTTTGATCACACCTATTTGTCTTGGTTTGCGCTTCGCCACAATCGTGATGTCGAGCCCTGGTCCAACAACAGCTGGGGAAGGACATAACCCAGCTCCAGAATGACCCTGAACTTTAAACGATTGTTGGGTCCAAGCAGGTTTCCATGGCCGATCACGATATGATGGTTGGTGAGATGAGATGCTGCCGTCGTCCTCGATGCGCGGAGTCCCCTTTGCGGCTCTTGATCCTCCCCTGTCTTACTCATAATATCTCACGGAGCCTCATCCTGGCGTAAAAGAACGCGTTGAATATTCGAGATTGACCAATGTCCGCAGTAATTGACTAGTTAATAAAATCTTCCGAGGACATTCCGTCTCTTCATACTACTACTCCTGCGACGGGGTCTTTTAACTATTCCTCAGCCTTGTGTGGTTCCAGTCACGTTTATTGCTTTTTAATCCTGAATTTCAGCCTCATCGCCTGTAAGATATAAAACCCACAACTGCGCTTGTTCTCTCCGAGGATCCGGTATGACTTGGTGTTTGTCTTGTCTTTTCTGCCTTTTCATACAGCTCCCATGTTCTAGCGGCTTCCCTGGTATTGGCGTACGCTTGAGTTTCATCAGGGGTTCAAGTATCAACTAATTATGCTCATTTGAACGGGAACAGGTTTCTCCGCTAGGCCCAAGTGGGTCATTGTTGTGCTGGGTAGTGACGTTATATTGCTCTTCTTTCTTATCAAAATTCGTCGCTATCCCTTGTTTGTCGATGTCATGCCGACTACCCTTAATTCTATACCCTTTGATATATGGCATCAAATTGCCTCTCGGCTGGATCCTCAAGATTATATCAATCTGAGCTTTGTCAACCGAAATCTCTATTCTCTGTTGAAAAGCGAGTTGACAGCTAGGAATGCAGCACAGGTAACTACTCAAGGTCGTCCTCGGTTATTAAAAGCATGGACTGACACGTTTCAAGTTGCATATTGCCCATACATCAGAGGGCAGGTTGGCCTCGGGGGGACAAATCACCTATACCGAGGCACTTCGGCGCGTGTATGACGTGCGCGAAGCAGTAGCTAATGCGCAACCTTACTCAGCATGTCTGGTTGCGTATAGTGAGACGTTTCTATTCAACCAAGGAGTATTATGTTATTTGGATAAGAGCGAGATTCGCACGCTAGACGTGCATGGCGCTGCTCGGGAAGAACAAGTCGTTAATGTTGGGGCTGTGCTCCGGCGTGCCAGCTCCAATGTGTCGACAGATTTTAGCCAAGAGGTGCAATTCTCGCTTTTGTATTATAGCCACGGCATCGTTGCGTGTCTGTGTGAAATCGAGGAACGCATATCGTGGCTGATTGCCATTGATGTTAAGCCAACATGTACGCGAAAACAGGGTAGAATCCTCCTCCTTAAACGGCTCGAGTCTACGAGAAGAATATTCGTCCGTCATAATGGATCAGTTCTATTTTATGGAACCCATTCCTATTTTGCGGGGCATGGTCACCATGAATGGGTAATTCACGGATGGGATCTAGTGAATATGCGGCCCCTGACGGAGCGACCTGTCCAACTCGAAAATTTTGTTGGGTCTGAAATCGGGACTTCGATATGTTTCGAAATTCATGACGACCATTTCTACGCTATTTCGACGGAAACTGGGTTTGAGGACGAAGAAATCGATTGGACTTCCTACTATATTTGTATCCGATTTCCGACAGCAAAGCCTCACAAGGTTGAATGGCGACGACTCTGGCGTCGGCAGCACCGCGAAGGCCCTATCAATGACACTTGGACGAACATTTCTCTTCGAACGGACGTGGCAACGGATCAACTCATGATAATAGAATGTCGAAGAGAATGGTATCGTGGTGGTAGTACGAATCTGCGCACTTACTACATGCAGCCCCTTTCGTGTTTCATAACAGACTCATCGGAGGAGAGTAACGATGGCACTGGTCAGAGGAAAGATTTGCGCGCTGACAGCGATTCACACGAAACTTATGGGTCACCTAGCACCGGATTCCCTGGATATCTGCCAGTCCCTTTCCTGCCTGATGATCCTTTAACTTCAACTCTGGATGATCGCAGCAAACCTAACTATGAACCTCCCAAAAAGCGCATTCGCCTCCACTATCATCCAGAGTATGAAGACAGGGAAATCTCTTCACCCGCAAGAAGGGATTTTATCCTCTCCAAGACCAAATATCGAACGTATAACCATTCTGCATCGGCTTTTATCGATTTGGTTAATGATGGCACCTCAACAAACTCACCGACACTAGCGGTACCAGATCAATTACGTCTTCGAATAGTTTCCCGGAAACGAAAATGCCCAATCAGCGAGAACGGTTATTTATACCCACCGGAGCTTGATGACGATAACACACCCATACCACTGAGCGATGAACGCTTTGAATCCCGTGGGACCAAGCTTTGGCCTCCTCTAAATGCGCCGCCGGAACTTCTTTCCCTGCTTTGCCCCTCAAGGAGATGCAGAGATGTGTCAGCCGCCTCCGATGAACGGTCTGTTGTTTATTCAACAGACCCGTCAACTCCAGACGGCAGAAGGCCAATAATCTTGATCAGCTTCGATCCCACTATACAGCTCAGCAATCTGAGGCGACTTCCTATAAAACCTGTCGCTGAGGAGTCAAGCCGTCCCGTTGTAATTGACAGGGCAGATGTCAGGCTTAACAGAGGACAGCCGAAAACTAGTACGCTGATTGAGCCTGATATGGGGTTATCTCCGTCGTCTTCACCACCCAGTCCAACTCAAGTGCCCTTGTTCAGGATAGAGCCCGCGATGTATTTACATATTAACCGGAGTTACTGGCTGCGTTGATGTACTAAGTCGGCCCGCGCCTCTTCTGCATATTCGCTCCTTTTTCTTTCTTCTGCTGTTTTTCTTCTACCTGGCCTTTTACCGGAAGCTGCCTTCATTGTCGTGGAGTTATATATCCATTCCCTAGATTTGTCCTTTTCATTTTTCGAACTTGTAGTCAAAAATTCATTGGCTGCCGTCTTCATCATGTCTCTTCTTTCCATCCCTGTTTTAATAATACATGTAACAACTAGTTATACAAATGACTGAACGGCCACCAACTCTGGTGGGCTGCTGTAGACATGTTAATAGCTACATAGGTACATTCAATACTAAAAAGATATTTGATATCAACTTACCCAGGCTTGCATTCTTCACATCCGAGTGCTTGACAGTCAATTGCCAAAACATGTCCCTTTCATCGGGATAACCAGGATTCAACTACGGAGTTCTTGCATTTTCGGACCAGAACCGTGTACACTATAAATATTATGCTTTTTGATTGGCGGATTCAACAATTCTCTGCAGCGTCTGTTGAAAACATTGGATGGATTTACTCCATTATCCCTGGCATCACATGACTTAACTGCAACAAAGAGTACTCCACGTGACCAGGCTCATGTTTGATCAAAGTGGGTAAAACCGTTTCCATAAAAAGTTTCTCTTCATAATAATCAATGATCTCAAGGACTCTTGCAAAACTGCTTTGTTATTCAAATAGAAATTATTGAGTTTTTTTGGATTCAATTCTCTTCATACTTAAACTTGTTAAAATAGTTATATATAAATATCAAAATCTTTACAGCAGTCTACAAGCAGTTGGTCAGGAGTTGTTAATTAACAAACTCTTGTTAATTAACTACTTATCTTTCGCTTTCATAATCTTCATACAGAACATTCTTCTTCATTTTCTTCAAGTACAATGTGCATATTAGGGTAATGATACTTTAACTAACAACTGCTTAACTAAGTGATAAAAATGAGTTTCTTTTGAGGAGGGAGTAGTTTTACTGGTGTAAAATTTTAAACGACCTGAAAAGTGATTTTACAATGTATTGTGAGACGTTAGGGCGAGGGGTCACGTGGAGAGCGGAACCCTTTGACAAGGTGAAAGAACATTCATTTCTTGCGGAAAACTGCAATAGGTTTACTTCACCACGACAACAGCTGTCACAATGTCTCCCGTCACTCTTCACCTCCGTGCGGAGGACAAGATCTTGGAGCACAGGTATGGCTGTCTTTAGGATTTATTCCAAATCGCAATCCACTCCCATGACACAATTGAATCAACGATCAAATAAACCTAAAAGATAAAAAAGTTGAAGCAACCAACCCCATACATGTTCATATACGTCAACCAATACGTATACAAATATCACTAAACCCTTCTCTCAAAAAGATCCGCCCTAACCCCCGCTACCACCCGCGCCCTCGTTGACGCCGGCTACATCGTCAAAGTCGAGCGCTCTCCAACCTCCGCCCTGCGCAAGCGAATCTTCCCCGATGCAGAGTTCGAAGAGGCCGGCGCCACGCTCGTGCCCGAAGGTTCCTGGGTTGATGCACCACTTGACAGTATTATCCTGGGACTGAAGGAGCTGGACGAGACGAAGGATTTCCCGCTCAGACACGCCCATGTCACCTTTGCGCATTGCTACAAGAATCAAGGAGGATGGGAGAAGTCGTTGGGAAGATGGAGTCGTGGGAATGGGGTGCTGTACGATCTGGAGTTTTTGCAGGTGAGCTTGATAATCATTGGACAATTTGGGGGTGCTGGGGTGGAGGGCTAATCGATGGGATTTGATTTATAGGATGATAATGGGAGACGGATTGCTGCTTTTGGTGATCACTCTTGGTTTTATTCCTTGGGGGAATATGTTTCTTCTCTGTGGATCTGGGACTAATTCATTTATGTCAGGATACCATGCCGGCTTTGCTGGTGCAGCTCTTGCACTGAAAACCTGGGTTTGGCAGCTTGAGCACCCTGACGGCACTCCACTCCCTGGCGTAGAGCAGTTTACCGATGGAAGAGGATACTACCTTAATGAAGCGGAAATGATTAGCCAAATCCGGAATGATGTTGCGCGGGGGGAGAAGATTGCGACCCGCAGACCGAGGATCCTCGTTATTGGCGCTTTGGGACGATGTGGAAAGTACGTTTAAAGCCCTATCCAGCGGGGTATCTTTTTTCATGGTTTAGATTGCTGACACAGAGTGAATAGAGGTGCCGTTGATGCATGTGTCAAAGCGGGATGTGAGGATATCCTGCGTTGGGATATGGCGGAGACAGCCAAGGGTGGCCCGTTCCAGGAGATTGTGGAGTCTGATGTGTAAGTCCTGCACCGCAATTGGCAGATATTTGGTTCTCTCATTCTCTAAATTGCTGATGATCCCTGTTAGATTCGTAAACTGCATCTACTTGAGCGAGAAGATCGCGCCATTTATAGACATGGAGAGTCTGAAGAGCCCTAACAGAAGGCTTTCCGTTATTTGCGACGTCGTAAGTTCCGATAACCTCTTTATCGACTTACGACATGGCATGCTGCTGACATACCTTTGCCGATAGAGCTGTGACACGACAAACCCCAATAACCCTATAGTAAGTTATCATCCACATTACATCCTTGACGTTGAAACCCACAGGGCTAACGTTTGCTCTTCAGCCAATCTACAACATCAATACTGTAAGACCTCTTATTCTACCCAGAACTTAAGCCCATGAAAACAACACTAGAACAAGAATCCAACCCTCACTCTAGACTTTCGGCAAACCAACCGTCGCTCTTCCACTCTCCAACCCTCCCCTAAGCGTAATCTGTATGTCCCACACTCTTAATCCTCCCCTTTCTCCCTCTCCCCCTCTGCCCGACTGACTTTCGAAAAACCCCATCTCTCAGCAATCGACCATCTCCCCAGCCTCCTCCCAGCAGAGTCTTCCAATGCCTTCTCCGCCGATCTCCTCCCATACATGAAGGAGATCAGACACCGTGACTCAAACCCTGTCTGGCAGCGTGCTGAGAAGCTGTTTAGGGATAAGGTCAAGGCTCTCCCCGAGGAGTTGCAGAAGGCTGAGTAAATGTGCAAAAGGCGGAATATGTTTTTGAGATGAAATTGACTTTCGACCTCTTTGACACGATCAACCCCTAGCTAGCATGGAAAGTTGGAGAATGAGGATAATGTGGTGTGGAAAAGAAAATTAAAAAAAAGTGTTCGAATGATAGATGTAGACGGGAGGGCTATTTCTGGCAGAGTGATTTTTTATTTTTATGTTTTTTTTTTTTTTTTTTTTAATTTCCCTCCCCCTTCCCTTGTTTTCAACCGAGTTACGTGCAGGGCATTGAGGTGGAACATTGATTGGTTGGCCAAAAAGGTTGGCAAAATCAAAATCAAACATCTATCTCCGTGAATGTGAATATAGAAAGTCGTATCAAAAATGTCAGCCATCAAGCAGAGCAGCTACTCATCAGTTGGAAAGAAAGCTAGGCTCCTTGCATTCAATGAATTAATGGTAGGAACTGTATCTCCTATACCAGGTTCACTCGAAGGACTTTATTAATATACAATAAGACTATGTCAACGATGCTACATTATGTACAGTTGCATACGTAAACTAACAATAATAAAAGATAAGGGGCGCGAATGTGAGTGACAGGAAAACAAACCCATCCCAACGACCAAAAACTCGAGCAAGCGCGCTGAAAGAAAGAAAGAAAGAAAGAAAGAAAGAAAGAAAGAAAAAATAAAAATAAAAATAAAAATAAAAATAAAAAAAAGGCTGCCCTCCAGGAACAACATATTCTCAGAGACCAAAATATCTAAAACCGGGATGGAGATGGCGCATCACAAGCTGGTCCAGAAGGAAGAAAATGCATAGCTGCTAATATGAGCACTGGCGAGGAGGAAAAGAGCGAGATAAGGTAAGGGGGAAAAATTACACCGGAATCAACGCATGAGTAGAAAAGAGAGCAAGGAGATTTGGGGGCCTTCTATGGATAATGGTGAGCGATGGATGGTGATGTTTTGAAAACCCATCTTCAAAAAATGTTATACGGTATGAAACGCGCGCGGGATGCAGTATGTATGTGTGCAGGTATGTAAGCTCTGGCTTGACATGGAAGAATGAAGGCATTGATGGGTTGGATGATGCGTTTTCGGTTTCTCTGTTGTTGTTGTTGTTGTTTGTCATCCCGGAAAGAAGCAGGAGGGAGCTCCAACAAAGGGTCGAGAAGGATGCTTCTAATTTAATTTGACATAATTTCCTGTTTGTTATTGTTTCGTTAGAGTTGTTTGGGAAAACAAGAGGAAAAAAGGGAAAAGATCTCTCTACAAGGAGGAAGTATGGCGTGGGAATGGAATGGGATGGTTGGAATGGAATGGGTTGAAATGGAATGGGTTGGATGGAATGGGTGGGTTGGTCATTACCTGGAAACTGCCCCGTCTTCCCGTTGATCTTCCCCGTCCACCATTCATTCTCATTAGCGGTCCGCTCTATAATCTCTATCACGTCGCCGGCCGTGAAGCTGAGGTCGCCATACGCCTGCGCCTCATAGTCGTACAAGGCCGTCACGGTTTCCACAGGAGATGATGCAGCGAAGCGTGCTGGTTTAGGCGGAGGCGGCGGCGGCGGCTTCGCCTTTGCCGCAGCAGCGAGAGAGCCCGCTCCGCCGATGAGCGTAGAGGCAGTGTGAGCGGAGTATGGTGGTGGCGGGGTGTCCGAGGAAGTGTCTGCAGTGTGGCGGGTTGGGTATGCCTTGCTGTTCGCAGCAAGCTTATCTTTGCCGCCTGGTGGTAATTTGGATCCTGGTTGTTGACGACCACTTCTGGTCTTGAAGTGGACGATCGCCAGCCCCTCCGCCCTCTCCTTGACGTTGCCTCGTTTTCGGTCGAAAGCCTCTTCGACATCTGACGTCAGGTCGAAGTAAGGGATCTTCATGCCCTGCATCTGTTCGTGGAGGGTGTAGAAGATGTTGAGCTGCATGAAGTAGAAGGATTGGAAGAGGGGCTTGATCAGCTCTGCTTCAAGATGGAAGAGCTGGGGGAGCTCCCTTTTCAAGAGATCGTTGTAGAAGTTAAAGTCTGCCGTGGCTTGCTCGACGTCATTCTCGGCCTTGTACAGGGCTTTCTCATCCTTTAGTGACTTGTCTTTCTTATCCTGCAGCTTCTTTAACGTGGCACGGTGCCGGTCATAGTCCAGCTGTTTATGTTGTCGTTTTACGGCGACTTTACGAATGATCTTGATAATTTCCAGGAGCTCCTCGGCCGGGTGAACCACCCGGGAATTGATCAATTCCAATTCCGGCTCCAGGGTCACTTGCAGCTCACGAACGATCGACGCATATCCATCGCATGCATCCAGTCCTTCTTGATTCCCTTCGGGGATTTCGCTTTCAGGATCTGACACTCGGCCGGAGATGGGCTTATACAGTTCTTTGATAGCCTCAGAGAATTGGATCTGGTGGTTCAGCATGCCTAGAGAGGAAACGAATTAGTATTGGTACAACTCAGGAAGGGAAGCCTAAAAGATCTAAAAAAAGAAAAAAAAAAAAAAAAAAGAAAGAAAAGAAAGAAAAGAAAGAAAACCAGGGAGCATTGATTTCTTTATGTGACAATCGGGATACCATTGATGGCGTCGAAGTACTTCTTTGATTCATCATGCAACTTCTTCGTTTCCTTCTCCAACTCCACAAATCTCCGGTCTGCGTCTATGTAGACGGCGTCCTTGGTGTGCTCGCCGACGTTGAACTTCGCTTTGATAGTCTGTGGAGCGCGCACGACGCTCTTCTGCAGCCCCTTGAGACTCATGTTTCCGAGTTAGCTCCCCACTAAAACGGGAGCGGAGGATTCTTGCGACAGCACCAGAGCGTCAAGGATGTGGGAGATTAGCTTCTGAGATGTGTAAATCCTCGAGTCGAGTCGAGTCGAGAATCTGAGTAAAGTGTAGGAATGAATGGCGTTTGTGTCGAGGGCGAAGGATCGATCTGGTGCTCTTCTTTTTTTTTTTTTTTCTCGTCCTGCAGCGTCCAACGGTCAAAGCAGGATGCCGTAGCTGAAGGCCTGGAGAGAAGATCGATGTCGACGATTGCTGCCCGATGGCGAAATGGGTGGTTTGGCTTGTTGCATTGTTCTCAACGCATGGTTCCCCCCATTCCAAAGTCCCGATGGAAGTTTCTCGGCTGGGCTGCGCAGGCGGGGTCGGGATTATGTAAGCCTCGCGGGGGGTTCGCCACCGCGGGCGTAACCGGGCTGAGGCGCTTGAAACCATTTAGCTGGTTAGTCGGGCGGTGCAGTCTGGCACTGGGAGATGACTAAGACTGAGCTAGGCTGTTTGTGTCTAGGGGAACATCTCCAGCCACACAGCGGAAAGGAAAGAGGGAAAATGAAAGAGCAGAACAGAAGAAAGTGACTGACTAAGCCCCGTTGACTGACTAGTTAATGCTACCATAGTTAACTAATTAATTAATCGTGTCACTGCGCAACCCAACACCTCATGTGGGTGCAACCACTCCAAAATGATAAAAATCTTGCAATTTCATCATCTTCATCATCTTCATCAATTAATAACTCACCACAATGTCAAATAAGAATAAAAATATTGAAGACTGTATTCAAAAAGCTATTGCTTATCATCAAAATACCTCAAATTTCAAAATACTGTTTTTGTTATAAGAATTTGAGATTTCTTATCAATAGCTCTGAGTGTATATTAATAGAGGAAATCTGAATACTGCAAAGATTTCAGTTAACAAGAGATTAAATGAGAGTCAGAAGGATGTGATTAAACAATGAATCAAGCTGCTTGATGAAAAGAATTGTTCTTTCACAGCTAAACACATTGAAGATTTTATAAATTTAATGCTTAAATATCAGTATATAGATTCTACTACCTCTTCTTCAAAAGTCAGCAAGATGTGAACTTATAGATTCATTGAATACCTATCTGAGTATAGAAGAATGAAACAGAAGTCAATGAATTTAAAGAAAATAATAGTTGAAGATATTGAATATATTAATATATAATTTGAATATCTTTAGATTCTATTTGAGTAGTATCAATTTCACATCTGTGATACATACAACTTTGATAAGATTGAATTTCAAAAATGACAAGAATGTGAAGAATAAGTTATAACTGCTTTTAAAGAAGCTAATTCCATCATTTCTTCATTCTTTTCAATAGGTTCAATTACAGTCATTAAATATGTATTTAAAAATAATCATATCATTTCATCATGGATAATCTTGGTCTTCAAAACACACTTGAAGAATTAATATACATAGACAAATTTGCTCAGCAATTATAGAATTGCTATATCAGATACTAAATTTATAAATAATGAGATTGAATTTGAATAGCTTAAACATTTCAATATTACTATAAAAAAGAGATAGAAAAAAAGTCATCAATTGCTTTTAATGAATAATCATGAATCTCATATCACTGAGGAGTTTATATAATATATAAATTTTCATAAGATAATTCTATATGAATTTTTATCACATGTTACTCATTTGTTACAATCTCTAGATAGTCTATCATTTCAGTAAGATAAGCATTATCATTCAAAAGTAGTCAACAATACTGCATATCATAGTTAAGTATGAAAAATAGCAGTTTCTACAAGATCTTTTAACTATGTGAAAGTAGATTTTTAAATCTAATACAATAGCTGCAGAATGAGCTCAACATGATATATATTCATGAAATTCTGACTGATTTCTTAATACTTTTAAGCAGTAAATCTCATCATCTCCTTCACTGCAGATTTATGAAGATGAGAATGATTCAAATCACATATCTATCATTTTCTCTCAGCTATTCTCATCAAAGATAATTTAAAAGCTAAAACACCATATTTGATGCGTACAAGCAATTGAATAGGTAGGATAAATTATGTCTGATTCTCTTTTAATAAGATGGGCGGATGCCCTGCTATATATACACACTATAATCACTCTATATGGTAGGAGTGATCGCATAGAATAGGAAATATAGAAAAGATTGAGGCCCCTGAGTGGATTAGATAGGGGCGAATAGAGAGCGAATACTAATATAGGAAGGGACGGAAGAATAGAGGCGGAACGCCATAATATTAATATTGTGGAAAACACTATACAAAGTATTAGAGATACTCTTGATTTGAAATCACTCATTTTGACATGTCATTTGAACAAGATATTCAAAGCAAGTCTAATTCACATAGAACTTAATTAGCAATTGATCACTGAATTAGAGAACTTTCTCAACATCAGTAAATGCTGCAGAGCTAAAACAATCTGTTGCCAGATTCAAGTAGGAAGAGTCCTTACTATTAAAGATGTCAATAGAAAAATCAAACAGCATAAGAATAATGAAGCTGAAAAAGAGCAGAATAAGAAAGTGATAGAGACTTGGAGTTGATCCCATGAAAATTGACAATAACCCACTCACACCATTGACAGAAGAGGAATTAAATCAATTTAGAGATGGCACACATACTGAGAATGATGTAGATAATCTTTTTATTATAGATTAGCTACTAGTTGTTAATATAGAGTGCAATAATGAGGATGTGATTCAAGATTTTTATCATTTTGGTGTGGCGCACCCACATGAGGTGTTGGGTTGCGCAGCGGCACGATTAGTTATTAGTTAGTTAGTTAGTTAGTTACATCTCTTTCCTCGGCGCATCGTTACATGGATAAAGCTCCTACAGAGCGCGCTCTCCCAACTTCCCAGGTTTTGAGCTGAGCTACATCTTCACATTCCCCGTTCTCATGTTTTCTACGTACAGAGCATGTGCAAGGGGCAGCATTCCCCCTCGCAAGTACACATTGTTGTATCTTCCTACTTGGTTGTATGCGAGATTTTTGAGGATATCAGCGATTTATCCACTGCCCGGTTTTGGGCGGTTGGTTCCCTGGCTCATATCGCGATATCGGGTATCTCTCCGGTTTAACTCAGGACATAGAGTTCATACCGGGAGCTACTCTCTCTTCTCTCTTCTTTTTCTTCTTTTTCTCTCAAAGTTTACCAATCAATCAATGGGTATTATTACATCATATGGGTCACGGATGCCCATCTGCAAGATGTTCAACCGTTTTGTAATACCCTTCTTCTCCCCTACCC